TACATTTTTTGAAACACGGCAGAAAGTTTGAAAAATTTATAATTATTTCTCAATTAAAAAAAATCAATACCAGCATTGAACCCAAGCCTTCTGGGTTAAAGCCATGTTTATCCTAGACTAGACCACATGGGACTGATAAATTTTACCATAATGGCAAAAAGTTTGAAAAAACTAAATGTCTCGTTTAAAAACAAAACTTGATCCTATACCGGAACCTCTTATGTGGGGATCAGGTATCCTAGTAACTAAATTATTAACATATTTTTTTAAACCAAGCAGAAGTCTTGAAAAAATATTTTTCAGTAAAAAAATAGGTATTTATGACACAAGGATGAAAAATGCCGTTTTTCGTACGATTACGGAAAATTGCCAGACGAGGCGATAACGAGTCTGGCAACCGTATAAGTACGAAAAACATTTTAGTCTCCGTGTGTCATACACTATTTTTTATTCGATTGTAAGAAGAAAATAATAAATTTTTATTTCTTATATTTATTTTAATTGAAAAATCTGATCGTAATCGACCTCACGTCACTTTGACACAAACCAATAAAAATATCATGACAGTTTGTTTCATTTATTTATGGTATCCATTTTCTTGTTCATATTTGTTTACCGTCCGAAAAGTACTTTTCGGCCGGGAAAAGTATTCGCCTAGAAACCAGAACAAAACATAATACCTATTATAAATAGGTGACCTCTTCGTCCAGATATTCGAACCAAAAAACATCACCTTTCAATGCACTCGAATAAAAATATATTTTCCGATACCGGGAATCGAACCCGAGCCTCCTGGGTGAAAGCCAGGTATCCTAGCCACTAGACCATATCGGAGTGACAAATTCTACTAACAGGGTATAAAGTTTGGTGAAAAACAAATTTATCATTTAAAACCAAGATTAGGTATCCTATTCACTAGATTATTAACATATTTTTGAAATGACAGAAAGTTTGAAAAACTTATAATTTCCCAGATAAAAAAGAACACAATTTCCAATACCGCGAATCGAATCCGAGCCTCCTGTATCCTAGTCACTAGACCATATTGAAGAACTGACGAATTTTACCAGCATGGCAAAAAGTTTGGTAAAAATTAAGCTTTTCATTTAAAAAAGAAAACTCCGTCCGATACCGAGACGTCTTGGGTGGGACTTAGTCAGTAGATTATTAATACTTTCTTGAAACACGGCAGAAAGTTTGAAAAATTTATAATTATTTCTCAATTAAAAAAAAATCAATACCAGCATTGAACCCAAGCCTTCTGGGTTAAAGCCAAGTTTATCTTAAACTAGACCACATGGGACTGATAAATTTTACCATAATGGCAAAAAAGTTTGATGAAAACTAAATTTCTCGTTTAAAAACAAAACTTGATCCTATACCGGAACCTCTTGTGTGGGGATCAGGTATCCTAGTAACTAGATTATTAATATATTTTTTAAACCAAGCAGAAGTTTTGAAAAAAATATTTTTCAGTAAAAAAATAGGTATTTATGACACAAGGAAGAAAAATGCAGTTTTTCGTACGATTACGGAAAATTGCCAGACGAGACGAAACCGAGTCTGGCAACCGTATGAATACGAAAAACATTTTAGTCTGTGTGTCATACACTATTTTTCATTCCATTGTAAGAAAAAAATAATAAATTTTTGTTTCTAATATTTATTTTAATTGAAAAATCTGATCGTAATCGACCTCACGTCACTGACACAATCTAATAAAAATATCATGACGGTATGTTTCATTTGTTTATCGTCTCCATTATTTTATTCATATTTGTTTACCGATCAAAAAGTACTTTTCGTTCTAGGACAACAATAAATAATACCTATTATAAAAAGGTGACCTTTTCATCCAGTTATTCGAACCAAAAAACATCACTTTTCAATACAGTCGAATAAAAATATATTTTCCGATACCGGGAATCGAACCCGAGCCTCCTGGGTGAAAGCCAGGTATCCTAGCTACTAGACCATATCGGAGTGACAAATTTTACTAACAGGGCATAAAGTTTCGTGCAAAACAAATTTATCATCTAAAAGCAAGACTAGGTATCCTATTCACTAGATTATTAACATATTTTTGAAATAAAACAGAAAGTTTAAGAAACTTATAATTTTCCAATTAAAAAAAGAACACAATTTCCAATACCGCGAATCGTACCCGGGCCTCCTGTATACTAGTCACTAGACCATATCGAACTAACGAATTTTACCAGCATGGCAAAAATTTGGTAAAAATTAAGCTTTTCATTTAAAAAGAAAACTCGGTCCGATACTGAGACGTCTTGGGTGGGAGCTAGTCACTAGATTATTAATACACTTTCGAAACACGGCAGAAAGTTTGACAATTTTATTTCTCAATTAAAAAAAATCTATTGATTGAACCCAAGCCTCCTGGGTTAAAGCCAAATTTATCCTAGCCACTAGACCACATTGGACTGATAAATTTTACTATCTGGGCAAAAATTTGCTAAAAATTCAGCTTCTCGTTTAAAAACAAAAGTTGATCCGATACCGGAACCTCTTGAGTAAGGATCAGGTATCTTAGTAACTAGATTATTAATACATATTTGAAACAAAGCGGATGTTTTAAAGAAATAATTTTTCAGTAAAAAAAATATATTTTCCGATACCGGGAATCGAACCCGAGCCTCCTGGGTGAGAGCCAGGTATCCTAGCCACTAGACCATATCGGACTGATCGATTTTGCGATTAGCGCGTAAAATCTGTTAATTAAATTTTTCATCTAAAAACAAAAGTTGGTTCCATACCGGGGCCTCTTGAGTGGGAACCAGATGTAGTCACTAGACCAATAATATATTTCTGAAACGAGGCTGAATATTGAAAAAAATATACTTTTTCAGTAAAAAAAATATATATTTTCCGATACCGGGAATCAAACCCAAATCTCCTGGGTGAAAGCCAAAAAAATTCAAATTTTAAAAATATTTATTTTACAATTAAAATGAAAAGAGTATATTTCCCTCGCCGGACACCCGGTCCGTTGCTGACCTAGCATCCCCGCGTATGAGAACAATGATGGGGCAATTGTTAGGTTGGGCGGAGCGAAACCGGTCCGGGCTTAAAAATAACAATAAACAATAAATACAACACCTAAATTAAATAATTTAAATTGTATAATAAAATCAATGAATAGAATTAGTATCCTAGCCACTAGACCATATCGAACTGATAAATATTATCAATAAGACATAAAGATTACCAAACTTAATAAAATTTCTCATTTAAAAACAAAAGCTGATACGACACTGGGATCTCTTGAGTGGAAGCCGTGTATCCTAGTGACTAGACTATTTACATATATTTGAGACAAGGCAAAAAGTGAAAAATTGTAATTTTTCAGTTAAAAAAATATATGTATTTTCCCATACCGGAAATCACCCCAGCATTCTGGCTGGGCCAGGTAACATAACCACTAGACCACAACGGACTGATGAATATTATCTACCGGGTGAGAAGTTTGGTAAAAATTAAACTTCACTTAAATGAAAAGTTGTTCCGATACCGGGACGTCTTAAATGAGAGCCATGTTAGTTACTAGATTATTACCGGCTGACCATAAGACACTGTACGCCCCCCAAATATTCAGAATTTTTAAAGATATGTCTGAAATTTGGCAATTGTTAATAAGATATAAAAATCGAATCCCAGGATCGGAAAACATTTTTTAAGGAAGAAATTATAATTTCAAACTTTCTGTCTTGTTTCAAAAAGACTGGGTGACCACGGTACGCCCTTAAAATGTTTCGAATTTTTCAATACGTAAATCTAAAATTTGGGAATAATTAAAATAAAACATAAAAACATATGTTTTGATGTTATTTTCAAGATTTTTGTTCTTCCGGTTTTACCGGAAGTGACAACAACTTTTCTTTCCTAAATGTAACACCCAATTTTTTATTTGCGATTTCGATGGAGCTAAAATTTATCTTCTTCAAATTTAAAATTGGTTGAAAAATGGCTGACTTATAGTCGATTTTCTCTTTACGCAAAGGTAGCCATGACATTATTATATCAAGTAACAAATTTCACAATACAAGCTGTGGAACAATTGCGAAACAGGCTAAAGTAAATTCTGTACTCAAAATCGCTGCCACTTCTTGTATTATTATGGTATGATATTTAATAAATATTCTATAAAAATCAAATATATTAAAACGTCTTGACAAATGTCGTTTATTTAAATGCGAGCACTCGTTATTTTGCCTTTTATTTTGAGGATCTTTAAGAACAGGCTTTTTAGTTAAAATACAGATTAGCTAACATTCAAAAATAAAATTGGTATAATTTATTATTTATTCATTAAATTTTGTAAATATTTAATGATTAATGAAATATCATTTTGGAAGGATTTTTTTTATTTAATATTTTTGAAAAGTTCTAACATTGGAAATTAAATTTTAGAAATAGGCAGAAAAACAGCAAATAATTATCATAATTTTAATTAAATTTATATTATACAAAATGGAAGAAAATTCTTGGATTACATTTTGATATTACTTATTTTTATTAAATAAATAACATGCATAAATTACCAGAAGTGGCACCGGTATTGAGTACAGAATTTACTTTAATATGTTTCGAATTTGTCCACAGCTAGCTGGCCGCACGAAATTTGTAGTTGATATTTTTTTTTCATGGCCATCTTTGTATAGAAAGAAAATGGGTCTAAAGCGGCCATTTTTCTTCCGATTTTAAATTTGAAAAAATTGTTGTATAGGCAATTTTTAGATCCATCGAAACTACAAAAAAAATTGTTATATTTAAGAAAGAAAAGTTGATATCACTTCACGGTAAAACCGGAGGAACAAAATAACATCAAAACATATGTTTTTATGTTTTATTTTAATAATTCCCATATTTCAGATTTACATATTGAAAAATACGAAACATTTTAAGGGCGTACCGTGGTCACCCAGTCTTTTTTGAAACAAGACAGAAAGTTTGAAATTATAATTTCTTCCTTAAAAAATATTTTCCGATCCCGGGAATCGATTCCGAACACCGTGGGTAAAAGCCAGGTATCCTAACCACTAGATCATATCGAACTAGTTAATGTCTCACCAACAGGGTAGGACATTTGGTAATACTTTAATTTCTCATTTAAAATTATAAATTGCATGGTCCGTTAGGGTATCGGAACCGATTTTTGATGTTACATGTAACATATTTTTATTTATTTTTAGGACAGGCCATATAGTATTTTTATTAACACCAGTTTACTTAATATAACGAGATATTGTTTTAAACAACGCTTCTTCATACAAAGTGAGAAAATCTGAGAAAACCGTTTAATTGAAATTGCCGTAACCTTGAATTTTCCACATTCCCTAAAAAAATCTGTTATCTAATTATACTATTTTTAAAATTTTCATAGTGATTTTCTGTAAATGAAATAATTATATTATTACATTATATTATTATATGCTCTTTGAAGACTAGAAATTAATAATTTGAGGGCTATTTACATTACTTACTTTTTATAGTTTTTAAAAATAAAAGAACTGCTTATTCGTAAATGAAAAAAAATTAAAAAAAAAATGGCCCATGGGGGGATCGAACCCGCGACCTTCGCGTTATTAGCACGACGCTCTAACCAACTGAGCTAATGGGCCAGGTTTTTCCAAATATTGAGAAAAAATCGAGGACTTATTTTTAAATTACGGTAAAACGCGGGTTATGTTATTTCAATTTGAAATACCTTTGACCTGAAAAAAATAATTGTATGCCTGTAAAATAGGAGTCAAATGATTCCTTAGGAAACTCCAGTGCTTTATAATATAAAAAATAGTTTTATTATTAACAAATCAAGATGAGGTTGGACATATTTGCTTTATTAAAATATTTCCAACCAGAGGAAACAAAAATTTTGAAAATGTCACTATTTAAATTCAAACAATGTACAACGAGTCTCACTTTTTCTGTGAGACTCGTACTTCATTAATTGATTTCTATCAATCTTTAAAATAATTTGAGTAGAAATTTTTTTTCGATTTAAAATAAATCTTATTTGATCAACAGAAAACAGACAAATCAAAATGTATAATTCTCGAGGGTGAATAATAGCCATTACATGCGAGTAAAATACAACTTTAACGACGACTTTTAAATAATAATAATTTTTAGTAAAATATGGCTATAAAAATTTTATTTTCAAATTAAATAGCAATTTCTTGAGGAAACAGATACATAATGGATACATTATTTAATAGTCGTTAGTCGTGGATAATAAAATATTATTCACCATGCCAAATAACGCCTAGCTGTATAAAAAAATTTATTAAAAAGAAAATGATAGCATAAAACACTTTACTTTGTTTTTTATCACTGTTTTTTTATTGTAACTAAACGTTACTGCAGTTTCAACACTTAACGTGCCATTTTTAAACCATCCATAACAAGTGAATGAAGGACAAAAGAATTTTTGCAGTTTTATACCTATAAAGTTGACCGGATTAGGTATGTAAGTATTTAAAATACAAATGAGATTACGGAAATTTTACAAATTCAATTCGGATTAATCAAGTTTTATATCCTAGGGTGACCGGATATCTAAGAATTTAATAATAATAACTAGGTACTTAAAGATTATTAACAAAAATTTTTCAGATAACGGAAATGTTATAGCTTAAATACACCAAAGAGAGGTGTATGATATAGATCCAATTTGTCGTTAAGAGGTTCGATAGTCTTTTGTTTTCAAGATATCCGAAGTAACTTTTGTTTTTCTTATGGCAGCCATATTGAATTTTTAATTTTTCAGATGCGCTTAAAAAGAGCTTTCAGATGATGTATACATGCCGAGGAAAAATTGTTTTTCAAGGAACCAATTTAAGAAAAGTTATCCATTGCTTAAAAAAATAAAATAGTAAATTGACATATGTATATTATGATTCGCACGTCAGAATAACCACAAGCCTGCTTCGGTGTGGTTGTTATTATTTTATCTTTGTGTTACGTATCTGTTTACGCTTTTAATATACAGGGTGATTCATTGGTAAGTGTACATACTTTACCTGCATTTGTAGATTACTTGCGCGATTCCATATCGCCTATGCTTAGTAGGTCAATAATACTTAATTACCAAGATACAGTGTTTTATTATTGATTTTGCCTCTCTTTGTCTTGGGCCATAATTTTAGACCCACTAGGTACAAAAAAAAGCAAAATTTGGTGTGTAAGTTTTACTCAATCAGCCATACTGAATTCTCAATTTAACGAAATCAAAATACAGGGCCGGACAGAAAAAACTGGCCGAATTGTTAAATGTCAAAAACAACACCCTGTATCAAAAGTTTTAAAAATTTGTTTTAAGATTTAAAAAGAGCATAAAAAATAAGGCAAATAAAATACATTTTCAAATTGCGCGCCTCATTTTTCTATTCACTTTTTTTGATAAAAGGAAATTTTACAACAAATTAACATACTAAAAAACGAATCTTACAAACTAAGAGAAATTACTTTTAGAAAATCAAGAAGTGTATCTTGGGTAATTACATTTAATTTTACAAATATTGTTCAAAATGACCACCTTTTTTGTTAATACACATTCTAGCACTTTTAGGCAAACTGTTGACTGCTCTCCTAATTTTACTGGGATTATGTCTTATTTCCTCACACGTGTTTATTCTTTCGAGCAACTGCTTCTCGTTGTTAATTTCTTCAGCATAAGTCACTGCTTTTAGGTCTCCACAAAAGTAATAATCTCCCACATTAAAATCGGGACCTCTCGGTGACCATAGAATAGGTCCACCGCGGCCTATCCACCCGTTTGGGAAATTTTGATTGAGAAAATCTTTCACAATTAATATGAAATGTGGAGGAGCTCCATTGTGTTGAAAAAACATTCCCTCAATATTTTCATTTTCTAACAAGTCCGGCAATACGTTTTCGATAAAATCTAGGTGTCTCACCTGTTAGTCTATTAGAAAGAATGTATGGTCCAATTAAATGGCAATTAAAAAACACCACACCAAACATTTAAGAAAATGTATGCTGTGACCTTGACTGTCTTACAGAATGGGGCATATCTTTTGCCCAAACATGTGAGTTCCTGGAGTTAAAAACAACATCCCATGTAAATGATGCCTCATCAGTAAACAATATCTTAGATTTCTTCGATTTCTAATAATCCACCGACTAAAATTTAAGCGGTGGACATAATTTTCTGGTTGTAACCATTGGATTTATTTTATATGAAAAGGGTTAAGTCTATGTTCTTTTAATCTTCGCCAAACAGTAGATTGTGGAATATTTAATGCACTAGCAATTCTTCGGGTACTAATTTCAGGATTATTTTCAACCATATTCAATAAATTTTCTTCAATTACCAAATGGCGTCTTTCTTGACGTTCGTTTAGTTTTGCAGCTGGAAATCGCTCATGTTCTTTCGAGTAAGTAAACACTAGAAAAAGTCTGGTGATTAGGTATGCAACATTCTGGAAATCTAGCATATTCTCTAGCAGACGCTCGACCGTTCCGATCACAAAACATATTCTTCGTTCGAGAAATTTTGAGTCATTTTTTAAAGTTTATTATTATTTAGGAATGCTCAGCTAAACCTTTTAGGAATGATCAACAGTCAGAAATTTGATTGTTTGAAATTTTAATTGTCTTAGCCTACTTGTAAGAATTTAAAATTTTTAAAATAATGTGTAAATACATATGTTGGTTTTAATTGGATGGTTGAATACTTTTTAAGACTTACGTTGTATGAATGGCTTTTTATTAAATATGAAAGTTTTTATTAACTCGTAGTCAATTATAAAGAAAAACCGCTATTTTGTATGAGATACTCGGTTCTTAGTTTTGTACAATTTTCTTTTTATCAAAAAATGTAAATAGAAAAATAAGGCGCACAATTTGAAAATGTACTTTATTTGCCTTATTTTTTATGCTCTTTCCAAATCTTAAAACAGATTTTCAAAACTTTTGATACAGGGTGTTTACAGAACAAGAAATAAACGAATTGTGGGTTCAACAAGATGGCTGTCCTGCACATAATACTAATAATTTTAGACGGATATTGCAGGAAAAAATGTCTAACTGATCTTTTGACGTAAAAGTCACAAACGCAGACGTTTATTTTTCCAGTAGCATACTGGGTAACTAACTGCGTTTTTTAAATAACCAAGAATAATTAATGCGGTAGTAAACCCCAAGGAAGAAAAAGAAAAATTCAAGCCATACCATAACCAATAACCATATGCCAAAAATATTACATATTACATACGTCAAAATTTAAAACCATCTGATAAACAGCATTGTGGTCTAGAAAAAATATTACACTGTAGAGCGCATTCGGAAATTACTGTTTGGGGCTTAAAAATTAATAATTTGAGAGTTTATATCATTTTTTGACATGTACTTAATCTTACTTTTTATAGGATTTTTAAAACTACAAGAACACGTTAAATTTATTTGTCAATGAGTAAAAAAAATAATACTAACCAGCTGAGCTAATGGGCCAGATGAGATGTTTATTCTGTTTTCGTTTTTCTTTGCTTGTTTTGCTAATTAAATAATTTTCAACACATCATATTTTTAAAAAAATAAGAGATGAAATGGCTCAGCTTCGGCCCATTTATATTACTGTATAACTGTAGAAAGAATCGAAAAAAAAAAACAAACTAAAGAAGCAAACAGCTTAAAAAGAAATATTTTTGATTTGGTGATTTCAAAAATCCAGTGGCGTCACTTGAGACAAAAGTCATGGGTAACAAATGGAACCCAGCTGTCAAAAAAATACACACCCTATACATGAATATCAATGCAATATTGGCATTTCACATACTCATATTATAGTATTATCACATCCTAAATTTGAAAGTACTTGATTCAGTAGTTCTAGAAATATTTAGAAAAATATGAGTCCATCAAGTCATCTTTGCTTGGTTATTACTCGGTAACGGTTCATTTTTCGGCAGAAGTTTGTATAACAAAACAAAATTGTTATTCTTAAGTGTTCTATCAAAGCCTAAAATATGACAGATTACTTTAGGGGCACTCTGTATAGAGAAAAAAACAAATATTGTCATTTTCAAAATAC